GCTAATGGTACACCGCTACGCGACACTTACTTAATTAATGCGCGACACTGAGCACGCGATGTTTAGTACGCGACACTTTACGACGCGCTGCCTAGTCCACGACGCTGGCGCCGTCTTGGGGCAATCTGGGGCCTCTCGCGGGGCTCTCTTTGGCCACCCCCAGGCCTCCTTGAGGCATTGGCAAGCTGACGGGGGCGAAACGGCGGGAAGGCAACAAACATTGAGTGCCTTTATGGTTGCGATGGGTTATGGCTTCTCGGAGGCTCACATTTGAAAGGCTTCGCGGCTCGAAAAATGACTTCTTGGGCTCTCTGAAGGCCCCCCTGGAACCATGCAACAACACGAATCAGAATTGTTGATGTCGTGGCATGAATTGGCGTAGCACGTCCGTGTCGCGTATTCGCGTAGCGTTGTCGTGCAGTGTCTTCGTAGAGCGCATGAGTGAAGTGTATTATTGTAGTGTATGTGTGTAGTGCATTAGCGCAGAGTGTTCGCGTAGTATCAGGTGTTAGTGTATTCGTGTAATACGTTGTTATAATGTTTTGGTGTAGTGCGTTCGCGTGGTGTACTAAGTCGCGCATGCGTGTTTTATTGAGAATTCGGTGTGGCTGCAGCGCACTCCCATGCATGTCAGTGAATATATTGTTGGGGTTTGGTTATGCTGGGTTATTTTGGGCGTGGGCCCCTCTGGAACCCCCAAAGCCCCTCATGAACCCCCTGGGTTTCGCGTGGCCACCCCCCAGGATCCACAGGGACCCTCTGTGATTCCCCAGGTTTCCTCATGGCTTCCCAGAGAACGGTTACTTACGGGCCCCTACTGTCCAGTCTGTTTTCTGATGCCCTCTACGCCCCCATACGGTCCCCGGTTGCTCCCTGCTGCCCCTCGCGGGCCCCTACGGTCCCCTCTGTCTTATGCGGCCCCGTCGGTCCCCTACGGCCTCCCGCTGTCCCCTGCGGTCCACTGCGGGCCCCTACGGACCCCGACGGTTCCTTGCGGTCCCCTGCGGCCCCCTGCGGTCCCCTACGGTGCCCTATTGTCGCTTTGGTCGTCTGCGGTCCCCTACGGCCCCCTACGGTCCCCATCTGTCCCTTACTGTTCCCCGCGACCATCGTCATCGTCGCCGCCGCCGTCGCCAGCCCGTCTCTTTATACGTATGCCCTCGCCCTCATGCTTCTCGCCCCCTCACCCCCCCCGTTCAGCCCCCCCCCCCCCCGCGACCTCGACTCCGCCGCTCCCTTCACCCCTCCGCCTGGTGTGCAAGTATGCATCCGCTTTCCCGCATCTTGCCCCCTCGCCGTGCCATCCTCAACCTTGCCCTCGACAGACCAGGTTGCTCTGCCGTGTGTGTACAATTACTATCTTGCCCCCGCGTCCCCTGCCCTGCCACATCTTGGTGAATTGATGCGCCTTGCCCTCGTCATTCCGTTCACAGCAAGAGGGGGTGCGCATATGTGCAGCGCGCGGTTGTGCCTGTGCGGTTGGGCCCAGCGTCGGCGAACATTCATGCGCGATCTGCGCCCGTTGCATGTACTTGCATTGTGCACTGCATTGTGAGACTGGCATTGCATGGCGGTGCATTCATGTGATGTGGTATGTGTTGCATCGGCTTGCATTGTCCACGCAATCAGTGCATGTCCTGCGTTGCCTGAAGTGCATTGCGATGCGCGTCAGTGCAGGGATGCATCATGATCCGCATTGCTTGTTTGGCTCAGCAGCTAAGCCTGCACGTCTTCGCCGCGCACGGGGCTGTCCGCATACCGAACACAGGACAGACGACGATGGGCAAAAGGCGTAGCAAATCGAGCAGTGGCCCAGATCCGATTCAGAGCTTGTTGACTTCTGGCATGAAGGCGTATTATGGTAAAAGTGATGATATTAAAAAAAGAAAGGGCTCAGATTCAGACGACGAGTCTGATGATTACATATATGAGGCAGAGATCGAGCTTCGAGCACGCCACCGCAAGTACGACAAACTAACGATCAAACAGGTAGAGTATATTATCCTGATGTTGAAAGGTGTCGGAGTGACAGCAGAAGATCTCGGTGAGCTTGGATCCAAGAGTTCGTTTCACATGAGGCAGGTTCGAGGGACCATGATCAATCGTTACACAGACAGAAACAAAGCAAAAGAGCATAGCGAAGCATTGGCAAACCTTCGGACGACCCAGGGCTCAAATTACAAACAACGGTGCCTCAAGCTTTTATGTTGTGCTCTGAACGTTCCAGCTTCAAAGCAATTCAGGGCAGATAAAGACACTACGATGGGGCACCAGATGACCGTGTGGCAAGAGCAGTGGAACAAGCGCAAGAAGGACCGACCCTTTTTTGCTTGCACTGCCGCGTGCATTAGCGCAAATGCCCTCCCTCTCCTCAGGTCTCAGTAAATGATGTGGTGCTGCGTTCATTGTAGTGCGTTGCGTTGCGTTGCATTGTCGAGTGCGTTGCGTAAGCGTTCGCTACCCTGGGAAGTGCTGTGCGCACTGCGCCGCGCGAATGAACGTGCACTCGGCGATCAACACACTCAAACCGATAGTAAGATCGATAGTGATATTAGGAATGAGATCGATAATGAAATCGGTGATTCTACCACTTGCATGGTCGATGGTATCGATAGTGTGATCGCTCGCATTGCCCTCTGCGTGTCGCTCACCGTCCACACCCCTCACCCGTTTGAGCAATCGTGGCTAGGTCTTGTCAGAAATGTGGGCATGCGGGGGGGGGCAGAGGGGAGCAGGAAGTGAATGAGGGTGATGATGTGGATGAGGATGGTGAGGAGCTGGTGCCGTGGCCCGCAAACGTCAAATACGGGCCCTCGGCGGTCGATTGAGAACTTCAGTCCTCTGTCCTCGGCTCGATTCCCGCACTTTGGCCTCGGATCCTCGACCCCCGAGTCTCGACCCTCAGCCTCCGATGCTCATTCACAGTGCATCGGCCCTCGCACTTCAATCATCGGTCATATTGCTATGAGCCACGGGGTCCCGCAACCAATCGCACTATCGATCCCATTGCCGATCTCACTGTCAATCTGATAATCTCACTATCGATCTCACTATCGATCCCACTATCGATTAGCAACATTATCAGCACCATTCTCGCCGTAGTCGTCGTCGTCGCCGTCGTCCTCGGCGCCCCCGTTTCGCCATGCCAATGTCTGGCCGCCGAGGAGGGCGTCCGCGAGGTGAAAGACATGTACGAGTCATTGAAGAGACAGGCTGACGAGGACGTGGAGGGAGGGAAGGGGAGGGGAGAGGCAGCGGCTGAAAAGAGGAGCGTGCAAGGGGAATGGGAGGGGAGCGTCATGTAGGATTGTATCGAAGACGCCTACGGCGAATCATCGCCGCCCCCTGCAATTGTGGAAGCGCCGATGTGGCCGAACGTTGAGGCCAGACCTGCCAAGCTATCGGACCACGTGGTCCCCGAATCGGTTTGAAAAGCCTTCGGGGAACACGTGGGCATCTTGAAGGTCATCCTGGCAGCCTGGAGGCCATTTTGATCCTTTCGGGCCTTCTTGGAGGACGTCTTGGGGGGCTCTTGGGCCGTTTTGGAGGCCATCTTCAGCGTCCAGTTCAGGGCAGGGGGCATCAGAAGCATGGGGGTAACTCCACTTCGTGCCTCGTGGCGCCGTGGTGGGCATTGCAGAGTTGAAAGTAGGTTGGCATAGGGTGCACTAAAGTATGTGGTGGAATGCCTAGGGGAAGCGTTATCTAGCATGGAGTTGCGTAAATAACAGGTGTAGCATGTAGGTCAGAGTAGAGTAGTTCGAGCCTGAGTTGCGCGCGCAGCACAGGGTTAAGCTGAGGTGAGTAGACCAGCAAAGCAGCGCTTCGTGTAGATTGGGCGAGGTGGTCTAGACATGAGCACACCGTCGTGCACGCGCGCTGCCCAAGAGGGCCCGATAAGTCTCCAAGGCGGCCCGAGAGCGCCCAATATAAACGCCCAGTGGCCCCAAGAGGGCCCAATAGACCTCCAAGAAGCCACAGGGGCGCTCTACGAGGCCACCCGAGAAGGTGCCAAGATGTCAAACCATTGATTTTTACTCAGGGTTCCTATGTGATTGGGATTCTCGCTTCTTCGTGCCTCGACGCTCCATGCCGGACATCGAGGCTCCGAACAGCGCCCTAAGGCGGACCAAGCAACCCCTAAGAGGGCCCCAGCGCGGCCTAAGAGGGCCCCAGGGCGGCCCCTGAGGCCCACCAGACGGCCCCCAGAGGCCCACCCCAAGAGAAAGCCAAAAGGGGGAGCACAAAGCGACAGTGCAAGACACCCGCCAAACCGATGCCCCCAGGAGGCCACAGGAGGCGCCCAGGAGACTCCAAAAGACTTCCAGAAGCCCACGAGGCCCCCAAGAGGCCCACAAAGAAACCCCTGGAAACGTCAAAACTGCCACCGAGAGGCGGCGTGCCCGCCAGCCCGCGCAGGAGCTCGCCAAGATGAAGTGCCAGCACCCGTGGTTGAAGAGTGCGCTCGCGGCCATGGAGAAGGCCAAGGCTAGCGACAACTCGGACATGAGCGACAGCGATCAGAACTCAGGCGACATGTCGGACTCAGCTTCCAATGACGTGATCGGCTCGGCCGAGACGAAGAAGATGAAGATGAGGAAGGAGAAGGAGGACGGCTTTGTCGGCAAGAGCGACAAGCAGGATCAGACCCCTGTCAAAGGCCATCGTCGAAGCGAGCTGTCAGTCAAGGCTCGCAGCAAGGGCGAGAAGCACAATATCGACATTGGCGACAGGCTCAAGAAGGGCAACGACAGCAAGAGGGAGAAGAGCGGCGGCCAGAAGCGCGAGAAGGGCCACACCAGCAACATGAAGGAGAGGAAGCGCTGTCGCTCGGGCTCGCGGCCGCGGTCAGCCTTTAAGCAGAACTTGAAGCAGTGGCAGCCGCTGCAGGCGGCCTCGGACGACGACGACGACAGCGACGACGCCGACGACAGCGCGGACAGCGACGACTCCGACGACAGCATGAAGCACAACGGCCGCCCACTCGGGAAGTACGCCAGCGAGCTTGGCGATGACACGAAGATACCAAAATGGATTGCCACCATCCAGGGCCTGAAGAAGCCCGGCCAGCGTGCGCTGCAGCACCTTGCGGAGCATGGGTACATCGAGAGCATGGAGGGGCGGGGCGGGCGAGAGAGCGGAGCACGTGCACAAGGAGACAGACTTGAGGATCAGGACGAGGACGCGAGGGTGGCGGAGGAAGAGGAAGAGAAGGAGGAGGAGGAGGAAGAGGAGGAGAAGGAGGAGAGTGGACAGAACGGAAGAGCAAGGGGAGAGATGGAGGAGGAAGTCGAGGGTCTCTGCGGACTCGCGTCTTTTCGACCCGATCCAGGATCGGGTCGGAACGACACGAGTCCGCGAATACCCTTGCCCCGATCCTTTGCATCGTTGTTCGTTTGGCTGCTCGCGTCGGTTGGTCGTTCCAAGGGTGCCCAAAAGGGCGTCGGATGCCTCCGTGGCGCGTGGTCAGGTGAAGTTGCGTGCGCTTCACGCGCGCGCGGCTTCACCTGCGGCGTGCATTTCGTGGCTTCTTGGTTGTCCCATGTGGTCACGTGTGTTGGACAGGTGGCGCTGGTCTTGCATTTGCATGGTTGCCCTGTGGTGTTTATCATGTCTCCTCGTGCGTTTTTTTGGGGGTGCGTGCAGCGCTCGTTGGGGGTGGGGCGGGGGCCAGGCGGAGTTTCACAGCTTGCTGGCCGTCTCGAAGTGGGACCCGACGAAGACCGCGAGCTACGCGCTCTTCACTACGTTGGGGAAGGAGTGGCTCGAGGAGCAGTGGACAGCGAGGAGAAGCATCTCAGAGGGGCTCAACAGACAGGTTCAGGAGTCGAGGATGCAGGAGATCGAAGCGATTCGAGCACAGGAGCAGGCCATCAGGGCCCGAGAGCAGAAGAACGCAAAGCATGAGGCTGACAAGTTGAGGAAGCAGTTGCGCGCTGCAGAGGCGCGGGAGATGGCAGCGACGAAGCAGGCGTCACCAGAGGAGGCGGCCGACGGCACCAAGAAGGGCAAGAAAGGCAAGCCGAAGGCGGCAAAGCCAGGAGCAGGAGGAGGAGAGGAGCGCAAGCCTGAGCTGACGGGCGACGGCGGCCAGAAGAAAGCAAAGCACAAACACATCCAGGATACCCCATTGCCGTCGCTTGCTCCTGACGCCCGTGATGATGACGATGATGCTGAGAAGCATGGCGCTGAGAAGGATGACACTGAGGCTGAGTTGCTTCCCTGTTTTGTTGATTTGCATCTCTCGTGCGTTCAGGCAGGCGCATGGTCCTAGATAACAGTGGTTACGATTTAGCGTGTTGCCACCAGCACATCCAGAAACGATGCATTGACAAGTTGGGGTGGTCAGGGAAGTGGCTTAAACCACGTTCTCGCCCAACCCCTCCCTCCTTCGAGGAAAGTAACACCCTCGCCCTACCCCGCTCCCCTGGACCTGGAGACTGGTCTGCTAGGTTGAAGCGTCCAAGGTTTCCCGCAACGGCTCCAAAACGACATCGGACTGCAACTGGGCCTCCAAGATGGCCAACTACAACGCACGCACGCCCGAGCTGCTTACAATATGCCCTAAGAGCCCCCAAGACCGCCCCCCAGACGGCCACAAATGGTCAAAGAGCCCCCCACTGGAGGGCCATCAAGAGGCCCACGGTTTCATCAACACCCAAATTTCAAATGGTTATCAATGCGTTGTGTTGCGTTGCCTTTTTGCTTGCGGTGACCCCTCCCGAGGCTTCAAGACGGATCCAAAGCTGCACAAGATAACCCCAACAGATGCCCCAGAAAAAAAAAGGCCCGAGACTGGCCCGCGAGCGCCCAGAAGCGCACCAATAGCCCCCCTGAGAGCTACCCAAGAGGTGCGTGTGGTTCTGGCTCCGATTGGGGGATGTGCGAAGGGGGGGGCGGGGAGGGGGGGGGGGGTTGCAACGGGGGTGGGAATTGCAACCCTCCCCTCTCTCGGCCGATGTCCTCCCCTCACCCGTGTCAGCATCATCCTTCTACTCATGGTCCGTCCCATCCTCCTCATGCGATTCATCGTCCGTCTCCCAGCTCCCTCATGCATGCGTCCAGTCTCGTCCTTCGCTTCCCTCATTTGCTCGGTGTGGCCGTCCTCTCATATGCCGCCCTGAAGAGTTGGTGAGACTTGTCATCAACGTGTCCGCCGTTGCTGTGTTGCTAGTGTGCAATGTTCGCCTGATTTGTATTGTGCGACGGTGGTTTGTGAGTTGCCGAGTGGTTGCAGCGATTGCGTCCAGTGCATGTCTTGTGCCTATGATCGTCGTGAGCGCCTTGTCTCCCGCTGCGTTGTCGCAGGCTGCGGGCCGCTCCGATTGTCCTGCTGCTGGCGGGCGCGATGGCGGCGGTCGCGAGGCTGCCCGCGCCGCGCCCGAGCAGATCACCATAGGGGACGAGAAGGACATCGGCGGCTTTGGCGTCGAGGCCCTCCAGAGCGAGTGTGACGGCGCAGATGATGAGGGCGAAGAAGATGAAGATGAGGAGGGTGACGGCCCAGAGGACGATCAGGCAGGTGCGAAGCAGCCTAAATGATGAGTGAGCAATCGCCAGATATGTAGGTAGGACGTTAATGCTTGCAGCCAGTCCGTCTCATGGTGGGCAGAGGTTCTGGGGTTGCTCGCGCGCGAGGCCGCGCGCACTTGTTGTGATGGGTACGGCGCATAGCTCAGAACCGCACCGCTGACCCCGAACACCCCATCCAGAACCGATGCTCGCGAGATAGTCTTTGGCCACTCCTTGCTGGGGCCACTTTGGGCGCTGCCACAGTGCGCCCCCCCAGGTAGGTCGAGTGAGGAGGAACATCACGCACAGAAAGGGTAGAAGGTGTGTGATGCAAGCGTTGGCCCAGAGGCCACTTTGGCCCAGAGGACTGGCAATTTAACCATCGCGTGCATTTTGCTCGCGAGCTGCGTGGTGCAAGGGCATGGCTTGCCCAGCCATGCGTGCGGCAATCGTGTCGTGGCCGCCCGCGCGTGTACTCTCAGAGCTGCAGCTTGCTGTCTGTTGCTCGTCTTCCCGCCGCCTGCGCCTAGCAGGCGCCGATATTTGATGCAGCACAGGCGGTGCACAACCGTCTGGGAAAACACGTTGAGTGCAGACATCGGCGTCTTGAGATGCCTTGCGCCAGAGAACGTGTCATTCCCTCTCGGCCTCACCCTGGCTCACCACCTCTCACCTTTGTCATCGGCCTTTCTCCGCTGCCTCCTGTCCCATCCCATGCATTTCTCCTATGTCTACTTCCCCCATCAGTTCCCGCCCTGGAGGTGCATTGTGCCTGGTTGTGCTGCTAAGGTAGCGAAGCGGTGCATGGACCTATTGGTTTGCATTTAATGGTGATGCTTCGCGTGCCCCTACCAGCCCATCCAGATAAGATGACTAGACAAGATGTCTTGGTCAGGGATGCGTTGCAACATGCAATGTGGCAGCATGCAGCGCAACCGAGAGCCTCGGGGTGGCCCCGAGAGTGGTAGTGGTGTGGGGGGGGGGCAATGTTGCATCAAAGGGGATTTGGGATGAGCCTTAAGATGGTTCCAATAAGCCCCAATAAGGCCGCGGGATGACGCCAGGAGGGTCTCAAGGGGGACCCCACGAGTGCCACCTGGCCGTGACTGCCCTTGTCTTTGGCTGCAGGGGGGGGGGGGGGGGCTCCTCTTGGGCTTGCCCAAGGGCCCTGGGGGAGGGGCCCTTAAGGGTACAAGCCAGGCTCATAGACGTGCCCAGGAGGGCCCAAATATGGGCCCCTAAGGGAGCTCCTTGCTGGTAAGGTCCTTGCCCTCATCGTTGACAGCAGGTGGGCTCATTGTGGGTCCCTCTTGAAGCATTCTGAGGGCCTTTTCGGTGCCTGGGGAGGGCGCCCGAAGGGCTTTAAGAGGGTCCCAAGAGGGCCCCAGGAGAGCCCCCATCGAGGCCTCAAGGGCCATCCAGCTGTCGAAACGGCGACTATCGTCATTTACAGCAAGTGGTTCCTCCTGGGAAGGCGCCCCAAGGGCCCGAATGGTGCCCAAGACTGGCTCAATGAGGGCCCCGAGGGTTGTCAAGATGACGGCCCTTGCCCTTGACAGCAGGGGTGCTCAGTCTGGGGTCGTTCGTGGGGCCTTCCTGTAGCTCGATTGGGACCTTCGTGGGGCTCTTTTGGCGCACCCCCCTCGTGGGGCCACCTAGCCCCCCCCCCCCCTCCTTCGCCCCGAAGCCTTGAGAGTGCCCCGAGAGGCCGCCAGGGAAGAGTTAACCTCATAGACGATCCACGCCCAGAAGCGGAGGTGCAGGGCAATTGCAAGGCATGGCAGGGTCATGTGCATGGTATTGCAGGGTGTTGGAATGCATTGCAGGTTCGTTTGCAGGGTCTGCTAGGGCCTGGTTTGCAAAGTATAGCAGGGTCGATTAGCAATGACTTCAGGATATCGCATGACCAGCTTTGCGCCCCCCCCCCCCTGCAGGGTCTTGCGGACGCTGCGGCGAAGTCTAGGGGATAGAGCAGTGTGAGGGGTTACGATTGTAAGCTGCAAGGGCTAGCTACTTAAACCACCTGTGCCCAGAAGACTGCTGGACTTATATGATAAACTGCGCTTGGGTGCGGGTCTGGCGGCTGCTCTGTCGCCGCCGCCGACGCCTCGTCGCGGCCTCGACGCCGCCCGCTGGTTTTGCATTGCTGGAGTGACTTATAAGGCCTGTAAGGCTCACGGGGCTGGATGGGGCTCGCGGGGCTTGTACAGAAGACTCATAAGCCTGATGTCTTAGACGGTGCACGTGGGTTACGTGGTCTATATGTGGTTTCAATGCAACGTATATGATTCAAATAATTGGGAATCTTGGTCGCGCTGGTACGTCTTATCTGTAGCATCTGCGTGTATGCCGTCTACGGTGAAGTGGGGTCATAGACCTTGCGGGGCCATGTCTAGGGTTTACGGTGGGCGTCTGTGATGTCAGTGCTTAGTTGGTGCATATAGGGCCTTGTGTGGCTGCTGCGTATGAAGGCCATGAGGCCTGCAAGGGCCGTGCTGATGACCAAGCATATAGGGCTAACAAGGCCTATATACAGGGCCTGTGGAGCTTACCGACGTTATAGGGTGCAATGTGCCCATATGTCGTATGAGGGTCAGACAATTGATATTGTAAACATGTCGCGTAGGACGTCCAGGGCATGTACGGCTGATGTGGCTCATAATGGTGTATGCATTGCTCATGGTTTATCGGTGCATGTGGCTCGTAAGGCGTGCCGACTGTATATGGCTGGCATTGTATGGCGCATGTATTGGTTACGTGGCACGCGCTGTTCGTTGGGCATGCTTCTAGGGCTTATCATATATATACCTGTCTGGTTTCAACGTAGCAATTGCATCGGATTCTGGACTTTGGGCCTCAAAACCACAACCCCCCAAAAGCCATTGTCCGTTATGTAGCATAATATTTTTTGTTCAGATATCTACGGGGCGCTGTGTGCCCTGGGCGAAGCATTGCGCACCGTGCGAGGGTATTCGCACCAAGCCAGGCGCAGGCCCCATGAGTGCGGCAATATTCCTGCCTGGAGCGCCGCCCGCCGAAGACGACGGGCAAGCGGCCGCTGTGGCGACTCCTGCGCCCCCTGCAAGCCCGACGGTGCTTGGTTGCCCTTTCGCGCAGGGGTGGCAACTGATGGTGGTGACGGGGCGCGGGGCAGAGACGGCGTCGCCGCTGCTCGCGGCTGGCGCCGCGGGCCCAACCACGGCGGCCGCCCAGCCGAGCCGCTCGAGATCGCCGCGCCAGGGTGGCGGCGCTGCATACGACGAGCGCCTGCGCCACGCGTTGGCGCTCCAGCCGACGCTGGCCGAGTGGCAGGCGCTTGTCGTCGTCGCTCTGTGTCGTCGTCGGTAGTCGCCGTCGTCGTCGAATTTCGTCGTTGTCGCCATCGTCGTCGTCGTCGTCGTCGGCGCCGATTCTTGTTGCCGATGTCGTCGGCCGCTGCCGCCGTCGCCACCGCCGCCGCCGCCGTCGTTGCCGTCGTCGGGCAGTGACGAGACGAGGGCCGACTGGCGACGGCTC